TATATATATATATATATACACACACATATACATATATATATATATATATATATATATATATGCCTTGACTTGATATTCAATGCCTGCAGTGTTGGTGGGCCCAGTATTCTGCATTATCCTTGAAGATTCTAAAGACTGGTCCAGATCAGATTCTCTCTACCCTGACACAGGGGGGTGGGGAGGGAGGAAGGAGGGAGAGACAGAAAGAGACAGGCAGAGACAGAGACAGAAGCCAAAAGTATAGAATGAGTCAGTAGATAAGCCTTGATTTCTTCACAATTTAACCATTCAATCAGCAAGTGCTTGCCTGCCTGGCTTCCAAGGTAACTTTCTTGTGGCTACAAAAATTAGACTCAGTCTTGTGGCCAAAGTAAAACAATTAGAACTCAAGATTGAGCTGTCTCAGGCCTCAAATCTCTCCTTTCAACGGTTTCTAAGACTGTATCATCATCTCTACCTTTAGAAATAAAATTTGCCAGATATCCCAAGGCTTGGCATAAATTATAAAATGATTTGCTTCCATGAATAAACATGAGAGAAAATGTGTGAAAGGAAAGAAGATTTATCAATTATGCTTCTTCAAAACCTCCTAAGATTATGCAGCTTTAATGGCTGAATGATTTTTGAAAGGAAAGCTTGCAAATTAAACTGCATATGAACTCATAATAAAAAGCATTAAATTAATTGAGTAGCAGTGCTTACCTAACAATAAGTCTGAGACTAGCCAGAATCACTGTGGCCTTTACCCTTATATTCTGACTACTCCAATTTGGGAGAAATCTCAGGCAGACCTCCCTGCAGAGCTGATCTTTAGGAACAGCCCTAGTAACAACAGCGGTTTAGGGCTCTTTATGAAATACTTGCCATATCATGTTTTCCACCTGTTGATTCTAATTGCTAAAGAACCAATCTACAAACTAGCCAGGTCTCACAATGGGGTCATGATTCAATCAACTAGACCAACCAAGCCTACATTGCCTCTTGGATGTGGCTTACTATATCTCTCAGGAAACAGCTGAGGAAGACTAGCCAGATGAGGTTCTAGGAAGAGTATATAGTGACCTCTGCCCACTCCCTCAGTTCCTTTTAATATGAATGAGACACACAGAGTGCCTGTTTTTGTCAGTTACTTTTACATTACCACATCCTTCAGTTCTCACAACATCACTCTAATGTAGGTTATTATTACCCTCCATTTTGCCAAAGAAACTGTACTTCCAAGAATCCAAGAGACTTATAGGTAATTCCACAAAGAAAGCCCATGTGATCCAAATTCTGTGTTCATTAATGTCCTATAAGAAGTACTAAGATCAACACAGAGGCATCTAGAAGAGATAATGAATGAGGAAAGAAGCTGGGTGCTGGTGTCTCAAGCATGTAATCCTAGCTATTCAGGAGGTTGAGATCTGAGGATGGGAGTTCAAAGCTAGCCTGAGCAGGAAAATCCTCGAGACTCTTATCTCAGATTAACCACCAAAAAGCCAGAAATGGGGCTATGGCTCAAATAGAGCACTAGCCTTGACAGAGACAGAGTGGGAGGGGGGCGGGTTGGGGGTGAGTGCAAGTTCAGGGACAGTGTTCAGGCCCTGAACACTGGATTGGCACATATGTGCACATACACACAAATGAATAAACTGTCTTCCTTCCTTCCCTTCCTTCCTCTCTCCCTCCCTCTATTCCTTCTTTCCTTCCTTCCTTCTTTCCTTCCTTCCTTCCTTCCTTTCTTCCTTCATTCGTTCCTTCCTTCCCTCCCTCCTTCCTTTCATTTTTTTTACACACAATAAAACAATAAGATACATTTTCAACTAAAACTCAACTTTTAAGTGTCAAATTTGGGACTCTTGATAGAGAAAAAGAAAGAGGAGAGAGAGAGAGGAGAGAAAGAAGAGAGAATTGTCATTGAGAATTGGCTTGTATGCTTATAGAAACTGAGAAGTTTTAGGAGAATCAAGAAAATAAAAATTTTCCAGGAGTGTGTGTTGAGGGAGTCCTAGCACAAAGTAAAAGCAAAAGAAGAAAGACAATCCAGCTCAAAGAAGAGCTCAAATTAAAGGGCACAGATACAAAGTTGGGGGACTTTTAATGTGGAGTACCCAGCAAAAGCATCTTTTAAGTTGCTTTTTTTATCACCACAGATAATTTTGCCTATTCTAAAACGTTATGGGATTCAGTAGTATGCCCTTTTCTTGTGTCAGATTTTCTTTGCATAGTTTAAAGATTCTTCTAAACTGGGTGCTGGTGGCTCATGCCTGTAATCCTAACATCTTAGTAAGCTGAGATCTGAGGATTGAGGTTCGAGGACATCATGGGTAGGAAAGTCCATGAGACTTTTATCTACAATTAAACACCAAAAAGTAGAATGTGGAGGTATGGGTCAAGTGGTAGAACACTAGCCTTGAGCACAAAAGCTCAGGAGCAGTGCCCTGGCCCAAGACTTCCATGCAAATTAGTTCTTCTATCTTCTTGTATGTGCCAGTAAGCCATTCCTACCTCCTCCTCCTCCTCCTCCTCCTCCTCCTCCATCCTGGGGCTTGAACTCAGGGCCTGGGTGCTGTCCCTTTGTGCTTAAGGCTAACTCTCTACACTTGAGCCATAGTGCCACTTTCAGGGTTTTCTGAGTAGTTTATTGGAGATAAGCATCTCATGGATTGTCCTGCCTGAGTTGGCTTCAAATTGCCCTCCTCAGATCTCAGCCTCCTGAGTAGCTAGGATTACAGGCTGAGCCACTAGCACCCAGGTAACCATTCCTTTTTCATTGCTGAGCAACAGTCTATTCTATGAATATAACACTATTAGTTTACTTTAAAAGAATTGATAGACATCTGGGAGGTTTTCAGTTTAGAACTGCTAGGCATGGAGATGCTATTAATATTCTTGTACAAGGTCTTTATGAGGGTGGATGCTTTCATTTCTTTTTATAAAAATTTTATTGTAAAGGTAATGTACAGAAAGTTTACAGTTATATAAGTCAGTAAATGAGTTCATTTCTTTTTGAACAGTGTCACTCACCCCTTCCTTCTCTCCCAGTTTTTCCCTTCCTGTCTCCACTGCCCCACAAGTTGTATAGTTCATTTCCAACATAGTGTCTAGTGAATATCACTGCCGAATTGGAGCGCTCTTTTAAATCAAATACCTTTGTATGACATCATTTGGGGACTAGGGATGTTTAGAATTATAAGCAGATAAAATTATTCAAATGGGGCTGGGAAGGTGGCTCAGTGGTAGAGCGCTTGCCTTGCATGCTCGAGGCCCTGGGTTCGATTCCTCAGCACCACATAAGAAAAAAGCCGGAAGTGACGCTGTGGCTCAAGTGTAGAGTGCTAGCCTTGAGCTGAAGAGCTGAGGGACAGCGCCCAGGCCCAGAGTTCAGGCCCCACGACCGGACCCCCCCCCAAAAAATTATTCAAATGCATTCACTTATGGGAATGTGGGGAAGGGTATCAGGACTCCATCTGAGGCAGGTTACAAGAAAGAATGCTGAAATCCCACCCTTCTCCTACTTATGCCCTACTAGACACCCAGGAGTCCCTTCTTCTCCTCCTATACCTTGTCTTAAAAAAAAATTGAATGGGACCAAAGTTGGCCAAGGTAGAGGAACATGACAACAGATAGGTGTGGAGAAAAAGAAATTATTTTGTATATGTGTGTGCTGGTCCTGGGGCTTGAACTTAGTGCTTGGGCACTATCCTGATCTTTTTGTTTAAGGCTGGCTTCTTTTTTTGTGGTTAATTGGAGATAAGATTGTCATGGGCTTTTCTGCCCAGGCTAGCTTTGAACCATGATCCTTTGAACGTTGAGAGTAGCCAGGATTACAAGCATGAGCCACCAGCACCCAGAATTCATTTTGAGTTTTAAACTCCCATTTCCTGCATGAGGAGTAGAGAGAAAGAGCTGTCTAGCTTGAGCCCACTATTTCCCTTAATGGTGTACTACTCCTTCTTTGTCTCTATTAAACCATTTGATTTGCCACTTTACTTATCTGTATATGTCTTCATTTATTTCTTTGTTGGAGATGCCAAACACCTGAGCTCTATACTTCTGCGACCATCCACAGATTGAAGATGTGGCCTTGTATAAAACAGAATTTTATATACTCACCTTCAAAATGATTGGATAGTGGGCCTTGATTTAGATAAAGGTTATTTTGGTATCCTTCCATAAATAAACGTGACTTGATGCTACCTGTCTTTACTGCTTGAACTAACTCCCAGGACATAATATTTCTTCCTTGAGATGGCCCTATCACAGTATGTGCTAAAGAAAAGGTATTTTTGGATGGAGATTCTATGATCCTCCACATACACTCTGCCTCACATTTAGCATGGAATTAGCCAAAATGCTGAGGAACGTTCCTTCCTATAAATGTTGAAAAAGACAGAGGCAAGCAAAGTCATGTTTTTTTTGTTTCTGTACCAGTACTGGGGCTTGAACTCAGAGACTAGGCACTGTCCCTTAGCTGACTCACTTAAGGCTAGCACCCTACCTCTTGAGCCACTGCTCCACTTCTGGCTTTTTGATGGTTAATTGAAGATAAGAGACTCATGGACTTTCATGTCAGAGCTGATTTTGAATCCTCAGATCTCAGCTTCCGGGTGACCTGACGGAAGATGTTTTTGATACTTCACTGGAGATCTCCATATCAGCATGGGATAAGATCCCTCAGTCAATAGTTTCTGACTGTGGTTTTCCTGTGGCCTGAACAGATCCTGCTTTCTTACTACTTTCTAGGCCTTCTCTTCCCTGAGGAATTAAATGTCCTCTAGACAGTGTAAATGACTCTCATCACACTTTCTTTTTGAAGGATCAGCTATCAACTGAGCTACCATAAACATGTATTTTTTTCTTTTAGAGAGTGGAAGTGGGAGCTAAGTTGATTGAGTCACATGATTGAGGAAACATGCCATTATATTTTAACCAGTGTGTAAAGAAGACTCTTAGGCAACCATCTCTCTGGGACTTTCTCTTCAGAGAACTTTGCCATACAGAAATTCACTGTCAGGATGAAGCTTTGTAGCCTTGGAATCCTGGTAGCCTTTGTCTTCCTCTGTGAGAAACACAGCTTCGCCTTTCAGAGGTAATTCACTGGAATCTAGAAAGTAGGGAGCCATAGATTACAGTCAGCATAGTGGGCTGTGCAGTAGCAAAGTGTTGAACCATTGAAGGCCAACTCTTGGAAATTTTACAAGTTGCCGTAACAAATACGTGATTTCAGTATAATAGATTATCATTCGATAGAAGAAATTCTTTTCTTTTGCTTAGTTTTTCATTACTGGAAGAATCCTAGATGATAAGATATTCAATGGAAATTGAAAGAAATGAAATCTTTACAAAGGTAATTATGTGTATCCTAACATAATTTATTTTCTTCCTCTCTCCTTATTTAAATATTGAAATTAACCATAGGTAATTTATTTTCCTCTTGTACAGAGAACATGGGAGGGAGAAAAGGGTAAAGGTATTAAATAGGAGATTTGAATGGTGACTATTCATCATAGAACATGAACGGAAGAAAAGTTGTATTATGGAGATCACATACATGAACATCTAATTTTATTTTTCTTAGAGTGATTCTTTTAGTATATTCTATCATGAACCATAAATGAACTTATATATAAGTAAGTATAAAGTAATGAGTAAGTAGTTCCAAGATACATGTATTTATTAACTAGTCAAATTTAAGACTCTTGAAAATTGATAATGTTTGCTTTTGAATTGTCTTTTTTTTCCTTTTTGTTTTGCTTCTATCATTCTTTTTAACTGTGAGTCAGACTTCTCTCCTCATGTCTACAACAAGAGCAATGGAGATGTATTGGCAAAGGAACACACTAAAAGCAAGAAAAACTTTAACAAACAACTTTCTCAGTCATAAAAAATAGGACAATAGTTCAGAGAACACAGTTTCTCTGGTGAGCCTGAAGCTGTGTTTGTACATCATTACTAAGTAGGTGATTAATGTTTTCTTTGGCTCAATATAACTGTCAAGTAGCAAGTAACAAATCCCTCCATGAAATACTGGTTTTATTGAATTGGCACAGGAGTTAAAATTACTAGAATAATTAGTGGCTTATGTCTCTATTTAATTAGCACATCAGATGAGCATGATTTAAAGGTTTTTGCTATTTTTAATGTTCCCTAATTTAATGTTTGGTTTAACTAAGGGACAAAGAGATCCAGGGAGAAGAAGAGTGATGACATCATGTTCAAATTAGACACTGTAGTCTTACATTCCTTGTCAGCAAGGTACTTGACTCAGCACTGGGCAATGTTATGCCTATCACCCTACATTCTAGGAATATTTTTCTTTTTCTTTTTTTGAAATAAGATCTTTCTATGTTGCTAATGCTATCCCCAAATTCCTGGGCTCACACTATCCTTCTTCCTTCACATTCTAGTAGATAGGAGAACAGGAACGTGCCACCACATCCTGTCCATGTTTTGACATTTTACATCAGGGGAAAAAAATGTAAGAATAAACAGTAAGTGTAGAATTTGGATTGAATGCACTTAAGCTTCATTACAATGCTACACTCCATAGCCTTGCTGCTAAACAATCTAGAAATCATGAAAGGTGAATAGAGATGAATATGAATCAAGGAGATTCTTTGCATGTATGAAAACAGAATGATAAAGTCTGCTGAAACTATTCTAAGAACTGGATGGAGGAAGGATGATAGAGGGGGTGAAACTGAATGAAATACATTATACACATGAGTAGAAATGCTGGAGTGAAATTACCATAGTATGTATGGTAATTTAAAAAAAAATTGCAAAGAAACTGTAAAAGGAATCGGTTTGAAGGAGGTTATATTTAGTCACAGTGAATTCAAAGAGAAGATAGTGGAAAGCTGGCCTGGAAGTGTGTAGTGGGGGGGAAGAATAGGAGGGATCAAGGTCCTCACCTACTGATAGGTGTGTGTATGGCTATAGGACCAACCCAATACAAGCAAACTTGGGACTGACTGTTGAAGGGCTATTATACATTTTTACCTCCATACTGGCCTCTATTTTTCTGAATTTTGCTGAATAGGTTGTCCCTGAACTTTTGGACTCCAGTAATCTTCCTGCTTCAGCCTTTGTGGGCAACTGGGACTATAAGGACTACCATCTTGATTCATATTGAACTAAACAGGATGGCCATTTAGTTTCAAGTTCTACCAAAAACCTTACTACATCTCTTTAAAATAAGTAAAGTTTTTAAAAATAAATTCAGTGGGGATGCATAAGGTAAAAGAAGGAGACAGACAAAAGAAAATGGTGAAGAGGTAAAGATATAATCAAGAAAATTCCCATATTGATGGATCTCGTTATTTTTTGCTTCAGCAAATATTCTGAAATTTGATTTATACTGGTGCTTGGAGAGAATGAGAATATGACTATAATTTAACCAAATAATAGCACATTGAAAATGTTTAAAATGTGTATATCCTGCAAGAAAGGGAAAGGTAAACTGATTCTTTGATATATATATATATATATATATATATATATATATATATATATATATATCCATGCACACACATACCAGATGTTTCTGTGTTTCTGCACTGTTTTTCTAGGAATGACCCATTACTGAAGCTAAAAGGGAAATCTAATTCCATTCAGAGTGACAGCCTTTGATAAATTATTTCTGGGGGCTAGAATCTAAGCCCTTCTAAAAAGAACTAATGGCCCAGTATTTTCCTAAAGCTGTTTCTTCATTATTGTCTCCTTGTCGTGACCATTTTCCTAATAACACTTTGTATTCAGGCAATCTCTTCGTGGCTGATTTGTAGGTGCATTTTAATAAAGCTCATCAGTGAAATGTCCTGGAAAAACAACATCAACAACAACAAAAAATTAAAGGCATAAATACCACATGCCAAAGAGGAAGATAGCTCAAAACCCAAATATTAATATTTACTTGATCTTAAAGGCCAAACACTGTAAAGGGTAAAAATAAAGTACTGGCAATTTTATAAACAGTCATTAATTGTGTTGTGCAATGATTACCTAAATGCTGCTTGTCAGTTGGGCTGTTAAGGAAAAGAAAGTGAGGAAACATAGCAGGGAAGGAACTGGAGGGTGGGGGAGCATTAGGCTATAAGGCTTCTGAATTATTCACAGACACAGGAAGGATTCTCTGTGCTAGCTTGGTGTTCTATCCAGCTACCTGAAGAATAAACTGGAGACCTGCCTATTCTCTTTCACTTAACTCCTGATGATAAATTATTTTCATCTCCAAAAACAGATTGCCAGTGGCCCCAAAAGCCTGTAAAGCAAATAACTAAATTGTAGCTTTAGGCTTTTTTCCATGACTCAGAAACATCTCACCAACTTTTTTTTTAATGCAACATAATCCTTCAGAACCATAAGTGTGAACTTTCCCTGAGAAACCTTTCAGGGGACAGACTTTGAGGAAGACAATCACATTCTTAGAGGAAGCAAGAAGTACTACATAGGGATTAAAAACGAAGGATCTGGATAGCTACGCTGGCATGCCAGAACTGTTACCTATTAACCAGCCACATGTTGAATTGAAAACCCTCTGTACAACTATTTAAAGATAATAAGCATAATCATTATGATAACCATAATATGCAGCCTTAGAGCCTGACTGTAATTTTTTTTTAAATTAAGCAACCTGCTATTTCCTTCTCCTTGTACTTTTCAATCTTTTTCTATTTCTTGATTTTTCACCTCAAAAAACTAGCTCCCCTTGAGTTTGCCACTCCCAAATGATGCCTAAATACTAGAATCCTGTCTCTGGAATTTCAGATCCTTGATGGTCAGATCCTATCCTTCCACTCCTCTTGCTTTTATTTCTTGGTACATCTTTACTGAAGCCCCATATTCTTGCCCACCTGAGTCACTTGCTACTCCTTGAACTCTGTCCCTTCATACACTTGCAGGTCATCCATTTCTTCTCTTATTCATTGAATCCTTCCTCTCAGGAAATTTCCATTCTCTGACTGCTATAGCCCAAAGCAACTTTTGACATTGTATTCTGATAGCAGATTATTTATACCATTCAAAGATAGCACTTGTCTGTTTTATTATTAGTATTTGTTGGTGGGCACTGGTAGCTCATAACTATAAGCCTAGCTACTCAAGAGGCTGAGATCTGGGATTTGTGGTTCAAAGCCAGCCCAGGCAGAAAAGTTCCCATAAGACTCTTATCCCAAGCTAACCACTGAAAAATCAGAAGTGGTGCCTGGCGCTGGTGGCTCATGCCTGTAATCCTAGCTACTCAGGAGACTGAGATCTGAGGATCATGGTTCAAAGCCAGCCTAGGCAGGAAGGTCTGTGACACTCTTATCTCCAATAAACACTCAGAAAACCGGAAGTGGCACAGTGGCTCAAGTGGTAGAGTGCTAGCCTTGAGCTGAAGAGTTTAGGGACAGTGCCCAGGCTGAGAGTTCAAGCCCCATGGCTGACAAAAAAAACAAATCAGAAGTGGTGCTATGGCTCTAGTGGTAAGAATGTTAGCCTTGATTACAAAAAGGCTTGGTACAGTGCCCAGGCCTTGAATTCAAGCCCTATAGCCGACAAAAAAAATATTAGTATTTATGTGTTTTCTTATGACATTTCAACACATGTGTATAATGTACTTTGGTCATAACTACCCCATATTGCTTTCTTATCCCCTCCTTTTAAAAACTATTCAATGGGTTACATTGAGCTATTTTCATATTTCTACCTAATGCACTTTGGTCATCATTATCAATTTCCATGGTTTATCTCACAGACTGGACTATAATTGTTATAGACTTGCTTCCACCAGGAAGTAGACTCCAGGGGATTTGCATGTGGGAGGCTGGCTGGGAGGATGGAATCAACGGCTGTCAAGGAGTGAGTGAGGAAGAATTAGGCAGAGGGGAAATTGAACTGTGATGCTTCAGCTTCAGCTTCCCCCATAGGCTTGCAGAATTACAGTATTTCAAAGGGGAGCAAGCAGGCATCCTGCTTATTAGTCACTGGCTGCAGGCTAGACCTGGCAGAGGGCAACCTATCCTTCTGTTAAGGAAAGGACTCAGCTGGAAATGTAATTTTCAGCACTATAAGCTAAAAAATGAGAGTTTATTTCTGAATGAGGAT